GTAATGTAATGTAATGTAATGTAATGTAATGTAATGTAATGTAATGTGTTAGCTGACAACCCCATTTTCCACCTTTTCCTTCTTTTTCATGCCTATGAGTACTTTTGAATTGGGACTTAGGTGAAAAATGAAAATCTTATGGTAGTTTTCCTGTGCTATCCTAGTTTTTTTTTCACTTAGGTTCTTCTGTACCCCTTCTTTTTAAGGGTACATTAGTGCAGGGAAGGGAGTGAATAATGATAACCAATGTCTTTCCTCCTTGTTCTTGATTTTAGACTTGTGCCTCTTAAGATGTTTCCATATACAAGAGAGAGAATATGCATGAGGCAGCATGCAACAGAGGCCCTGCTGCAATAGAGGTGGGGTGAATTAGAGCAGTGTCTCATTGAATGCAGAGAGCATCATGAAGTTCCAGCAAAGATAATGAAGCACAGTGAGCCTCATTTGATATGAAGGCTAAGTATTTTTTATTTGACCAAACAGCACTGTAAAGGAAGACCTCACAGAGGGGAAGCAACTCTGCCAGGTGGGTGGGGGCATCTTTACCTTGTTGATGATGTGTATCACTCCATTTGTGGCTGCATTGTCACCGTCCACAATGGATGCCCCCTCAATTGTGATATTCTGCAAGTGCAAAGACAATGGGAAAGTGAGTGCACTTGAGGGTTGTATTACCTCTGGGTTTTCTGCCTTTTGAGCATCAGTAACCATTGTAGTTTTGGGCTGTGAAATACTTTAAATTTTGACCCATTAGACATCATAAACAGATAAACATACATATTCTACATGAGGGGTATACTCTGATTGTCAGTCTATTCTACTCTTGTAGAGGAATTTTAACTCAGAACATGGCTGCTCTGGCAAGAGATCACATCCAAAGACCTTCTAGGCTGGAATACAAACAGCACTTTAATCCAGGAGACAGAGGCAAGCAGATCTGACTTGTATAGAACAGCCTGGTATAGAACAAGTATCAAGTAAAGAAAAGCTCAGGTCCAGGTGTGGTGGTGCATTTATTGTTTAATCCCAAACAATGAAGGAAAAGGTAGTTTGTAGAAGGAAGCATCCGTGTTTGAAAGTGATATCTAATTGAGTGGCAGAAACAGTGATGATTAGAGAAAGATTTGACAGATAGGATATGCCCAACTCTCATGAGAAGAGAGAGGAAAGGGTAGCTACTTAGGGAAAATGGAGAGAGAGAGAGAGAAGAGAGGAGAGAGAAGATAGGAGACAGTTTTACTGGGACAGTGATAGGTAGGTTTCAGAGAGAGAACAAGCTAGACTCAGGTGAAGAACGAATAAGCCAGAGAATGAGAAGATTAGAGCAGACTGCTGGAGTTATTTTAAGGTCAAGCAGAGTAATTCAGGGGCTGAGAGAGAAGTCAGATTGAATCAGTCAGCTGGGAAAGGAGTTTGAGCCAGAACAGCTGAGTTGAATCAGCCAGCCTAGAGCTCAGAAAGAATAAGAAAGGGTGAGCTTATTAAGCAGTAAGTCTCAGAGGCTGACAGCATTCCAGGCCTAGGTTAGCAGAAGGAGGCAATAAGCCTTCCAGTCAACAATTGAAACAATTGAACAAATGTTCTGTTTACACAGTCTCTTTTAGTTTATTAAAAAAAAAAAAAAGGTAGGGGGAATTCACACAAAGCACTATTGAGAGAAGATTCCATTAGATCAGCAACATGGACATCAATAAGCCAAGGAGGCAGCCTGGTACATCTCGTTCCTTCACTACCCTCACAGGAAATCAGCTCTTGCTAATACTAGTCTTGGCCTTCCAGAGGCCTTCAGCATTATGAGGATACCAACTATTGTTAGAGCCCCCTCATTTGTGGTACCTTTCACAGAGATCACTGCAAACTAATAGAGACGGTGACTATCTCCCATTCAAGAGCAACTGAGCTCCAATCATTTTGGTTTCCTTTTTTTCCCTTACTGGGACCTCTGTTTGCAAATCCTTTGGGATCTTCGGGAGGAGGGACATTTGCCTAAACCTGCACATGAGTTCCATGTACAAAGGCTGTGGAAACACATGCCATCTGTCACATCTTCTTTTGTTAAAATGGGATATTTTTATTTTATTAGACACAGGAATGAACTTGAGAAACACTCGTGTTTGATGGTTATCTCCTCTAGGCCAGGGCCTTGATGGATTTATTTTGGAACCTATACGACTTGTGGCATGCAAGGGTGGATGTTTGTTTCGAAGAAAATTGATGGTTTGAAATACCAGTGGATTAGCTTGACTTTACTAATCACATTATACGAGAATACAAAGTCATGTTGTAAATTAAGAAAATCAAACATCAACTATTGTGTGCAGTGTGGTGCTTCAGTGCAATTGTATATACTATGCAGTGGTTTAATTAGGACACTTAGGCTCTCTGTCGTCCGCATCATTGATTTCTTCCTGGGATGACAACATTCAAATCCTCTCTTCCAGCTATTTGGTTGATTTACCTGGGAGCTCTGGAGGCTACATGTGGGACTCCACACAAATGCTCTCTTCCACTGAGCTACAGATCCAACTCTCTTTTTTAGTTTGTATTTCAAAACAGCGGCTCAGCAAGTTGCCCAGGCTGGCCATGACATCTCTCAGTGCCCCAGGAGGCTTTAGCTTGTGATCCTCTTGCTTCAGCCTCTGGAGTGGCTGGGATCACAGCCCCACAGCATCACGCCTGGCACACTTATTTGATTTATATACTATAGTGTTGTTAATCAGAGTATAGCGCAGCTGGGCAATACTCCAGAGAATGTGTTCTTTCTCACTAGTTGTATCCTTGCACCATTCTGTATATGTATACGTATGTATACACTTATACGTACACTTACATATATATAAATGTATATGTCTGTCTGTCCGTCTATAGAGACAGGGTTTCACCATGTATCCCTGGTTCATCTGTAACTTGATATATTGACCAGGCTGGCCTAGAACTCACAGATCCACCTGCCTCTGTTTTCTCCAGGGCTGAGGTTAAAGTCATTTTCCACAATGCCATATTGTACTCCAAATTTTTATTTAAACGATTCAGAAAATAACATGAACTGGAATTTCCAAAGATTTATAAGATATCCACGAAAGCACATATTTGAGTTTTCTGCTTTCAATATCGGCCAGTGAGCCTGCTGTGTAGGCTCAGCTCAATAGATTCTTTTCCTAGCGCTCACAGGCTGACAGGGAAACTGGGAAGCTCTGAGCCATCTCTGCCTGATGCATCATTGTGGCAGTAGTTGCTTGACTCTCGCATACTTTCACGTTGTCAACTCATGAAAAGACTTTAATACCCAGCCCCTCATAGGCATGAAGCCAGACTTACCTCTTAAACTGGCATGACAGACTCTAGGAAACTGGAAAGAAACAACCAGTTTCTCTGGAGCTCCACTCTTCCATGGCCACTGCCCTGGCTCTACCACCAAGATGCATGTGTCTGCAGAGTAGGCACTCACCATAGGCTTGTAGTCTAGCTAACTTACATGACATCCGGTTACTGATGATGGCTCCACTCGGAGGTTTGAGTCACTAGTCTTCGTTAACTACGCACGAGAATGAAGTGTGTGGAACTGAATATGTTCACCTTTTCCGGGTCATGTCAGGAGGAGCTTGTTGGTCTGCCTTTTGGATTACTGCTTCTGAGAGCTAATCTTTTCTTTCCTTTTTTCTTATTCTTTTTCATACAATATATATTTTAAAGATTTCTTTATTTTATGCATATGAGTGTTTTGCCTTCAGGCCCACCAGAAGAGGGAGTCAGATTCCATTACAGACAGTTGGGAGCCACCATGTGGGTGCTGGGAAGTGAACTCAGGACCTCTGGAAGAGGGGCCAGTGCTCTTAACCATCTCTCCAGCCCCATACAATATATTTTGTCCATGTTTTCCTTTTCCCTCAACTCCTCCCAGATTCTTCCCACTTTCTTCCTCATGTAACTTTATGTTCTTTCTCTCTTAAATACACAGACACACACACAAATGAAAATCAAAACAAACAAAAAAGCAGTAAGACAAAAAATAAAAAGAAAAAAAAATCCCATAAAACCCCAAATACAAACATGGGGTTCGTTTTGTGCTGACCAAGAACTCCTAGTCATGAGGCCAGCCCTGGAGTGTGGTTAATATACACAGTGACACTCCATTGGATAAACCTGACTTTCCCTTTTGTAATAGCAAGTCTTGATGGGCTCTGGAATCGCCATGGAACAAGCCCCAGGGCACATGGACAAGGGAATAGGAAGAACTACCTTAAATATCAGTAACATCAGTTCCTGGGCTGGAGTCCTGAGCTTCACAAAAGGTAGAAACCTAGCTGAGCACCCTCCCATTAAGCTCTCCTGACTGTGGGCAATGTGACCATCTGCCTTCCGCTCTTGCCACTGTAATTTCCCCTTGATGGTAGACTGTTCCCTCAAACTGGGAGCCAGAATAAACCCATAAGTTGCTTTTGTCAGATACTTGGTTATAGCGATGAGAAAATTAATGACTATATTGCTGTAGCCTAGTTTTTTTTTTATTGTTTTCCTTTCTTTCTTTCTTTCTTTCTTTCTTTCTTTCTTTCTTTCTTTCTT